AAATAAACTTTTATTTTATTTTATTCGCGAGAAAACAACTTTTCTCGATTAAAGAATTAAAAGAAATTGGTGAGTATAAATCAACAATTAAATAAATAGAAAAAAAAATTCAAATAAATGTGAAAAATGTTTAAACAAATAAATATACAGCCAGAAAGCATTTATTATTTTTACAGTTTCGAAAAGGTTATCAAGAACACCGTTATTTATGCGAAGAATATTGAGAACAATAAATAGTAAAATTACTATGCAAATAACTTCCTTAACTTTTCTAATGAAAAAATTGCAATGCAAATTCCCTAACAATGTGGGGATTTTTAATAATCTTTTTTTCAGAAGTCTATATCAAATCAGCCTTAAGTCATCATTAGACCTTTCATATATAAATATATATAAAGTTCCGTATATTTAATCTTTCAATATAATCAAGAGCAAAAATTTTATGCATAACATATTCATTCTTTGTTACAAAAAAAAAAATGAAATTAATTAAACCTTATATCGTAAAAAAGTAGTTTTATCGAAAATATCGAAATTCAATTTTCAAAAAGTACTTTTTTTTTATTTCAGAGATGAACCATAAGCAAATTCTAAGTACGAAACCCTTTCAGAAAAAGCTAATTTCAAAAAAAAAATTTCTCGTCTAATAGTCAAAAATATTTTTCGGTTTTTTCCTCATTTGCATTTTTGAAAAAAGGATCGAGACCATTCTAATTTTTCAAGATATAAAATTTTTTTCTATATTATCAGTATATATAGAGGTTTTTCCTCTTGCTTGCCTTTTCTGATATTTTAAACAATACTTTTTGCAAAAAACAAATAAAATAACTCACCATCAAATTGAAACCTCCAATATTTATTGGTTTCTTAATTGTTTAAACTATAAAATTGCCTTTTCAGATACTTTAAACAATACTTGTTGCGATGAAAGTCGATGAACCTGAAACATAAAGATAATTTTAGTTAAAATCAATGAGAAAAAAACTAAGTTCTCTACATTACCAACCGTCGGTAATGTCAAATTCTACATGAAAAATATTTACTTAATACCTAAAAAAATTAGCGGTGGCACTTAGTTTAGGGCATGATAACATTATTCGAACAGAGATTTTTAAAATAATTCTTTCAATTTTCGAGAAAAGTGATCGAAAAGGTCATGTCAGGGTCTAACTTTTTGAATGTTACACTTCAATATTGAAACTAATTTTTGGAATTTTAATAATATAAATAACTTAACTCGATATTGTTTATAATTAAAGGTAAAATTATATAATAATAAAAATAATAATAATAAAAATAATAATAACAATAAGATAAAAATCAGAAGTATAATAAATATTTTTAAAAAAATTCACTGACACTGCTAACAGTAAAATATCAATAAGAAAAATTTCGAGAGAAGAGTATGTTTTACGCTACTGGATGAGGTGATGGAACGAGAGGAAGAAAAGAAAAGAAAGAAGAATAAAAAGGCGAAAGAGGTTTGGAATGAGTCTTCCGAGCTGAAAACGACGAAGACGACGACGACGAAGGAGAAGCCGAGCGGAAGGAGGTGCGACTCTTCTTCTTGCTCTTGTTCTTCAACTTCTTCCTCTTCAGTCTCCGACTCTCTTGGCAACTTCCACCTCTATACTAACTAACAAGTAACCCGCAACATCCCAGTGTTCCTCTTTCTTTTTCTTCTTATTCTTCTTCTTCTTTTCCTCATCTAACCAAGCACATTATATATATAAAACAAGTTTAGGGACAAGAGATTTTTAATTTTTTTTTTTAAATTCTCTCTTGTTATTGTTTGTTTTCACATAGGGAAAAAAGCTTGACACAGATAAAGTGTAAAATTTAAATATACTAATAAATTATATACATAAATTGGAAAAAATGTCAAATCACAGGTTGAAAATTAAACTTAACGTCAAATTTACGGCCAAGGCAGGGCTACATAACCTTTATGAAGATTAAGGCAGCAGTCAAACATACCCAGGGTTGCCACAAAAAATTAATTTTGTTTTCCCTGATTTCCAGACAAAATTTTAACTTTTTCCCTGACCCTAAAGAATATTCTGATTCGCTAAAAATTATTAGATACTCAAAAAAATGTTCTATTACATTAATTTACAAATTATTTACAACTTATAAGAATATTATCGATATCTTCATATTTTATAATAATTAAAATTTCCATAACATTTTTTTTTAAAAAATTTAAATTATTTGCAAAAATTTTAATAAAATCCTTCTCAAGAATTCAATTATTTTTATAAGTAATAAAATTTTTCATATGAATTCAATTATTTAAAAAAATGTAGTTATTCAATTATTTAAATTCAATTAAATAAATTATTTAAATATACCTAATTATTCAATTATAAAATTCAATTATTTTTATAAATAATAAAATTTTTCATAGGATTTTAATTATTTTTACCTACAATTTTAAATAAATTCTTCGAAAAATGTAATTATTTTCAAAAATTTTCTGCAAGCATTCAACTACATTTGACAAATTAATGAAATTCTTTGCTGAAATTCAAATATTTTCAAAATCTATACTATCTTAACTAAATTTCTCAAAAGAATTCAATTATTTAAAAAATTGTAGTAAAATTCGTTGCAAGAATTCAATTATTTTCATAAATAATAAACTTCTTTACAGGATTTCAATTATTTAAAAAAATATAATAAAAATTAGTTGCAAGAATTCAATTATTCTCCAAAATAATAAAATTCTTCACAGAGGATTTCAATTATTTAAAAAAAAATGTAATATAAATTCTTTGCAATAATTCAATTATTTTCATAAATAATAAAATACTTCACAGGATTTAAATTATTTTTAATACAATTTTAAGCAAATTATTTGGAAAATGGCATTATTTTCCAAAATTTTATTAAAAATTTAAAATTCTTCAAAAGAAATTAATTATCAATTATTTTAAATAATTTTTGCAAAAGTTCCTTGAGAATTTTTAAATACATTTATTTACAATTCAATTTTACGAAATTTCGATTATTCGGAAATTCTTCAAATAAATATTAATATTAGAAAATAAAAACTCCAAATAATTTTACAAAACTTTCAATTAAACTTTTACAAAACAAAATTAATTCTACAGAATTGTTAGTTAAAAGTATGAAAAATTTAAATTTTCAAAGTTTTTAATTTGAATAACCTTTTCAAAATTTAATTATTTCTAAAAATTCACGCTCTAATGCTTTTAATATTCAATTATAATCTTAAATTTTAACTGAAATTCATTTTTAAATCAATATTTTTATATAATTCTACGAGAATTTAATTATTTACATACAAGAAAAATTAATTAAATGAAAATTAATTGAATAATAGAATGTTTTTCAGAATTGAATTCATATAAAGAATTTTATCAATATAATTGAATTTTTTCGACAAATTTTAATAAAATTTTCAAGAATAATAGCATTTTTCGAGGAATTCGATTAAAATTATATTAAAAATAATTGAAATCCTGTGATGAATTTTATTATTTAGAAAAATAATTGAATCTCTGTAAAATTTTTTTATTATTTATGAAAATAATTAAATATTGCGAGGAAATTTATAAGAAAAATTTGTAAATAGTTAAATTACTGTGAAATTTTTATTATTTATGAAAATAATTTAATGTTTGCTTAGAATTTTATGAAAACATTTTTTTTTAAATAATTGAATTCTTTTGAAAAATTTTATTAAAATACTATATATATATTGAAAATTATTGAATTGAGAAAAATTTTTAAAAATAATTGAAATTTGGTCAAGAATTTTTTTAAAAAAATTTTTTAAATAATTGAATTTTAGAGAAAAATTGTATTATTTTTAAATATAATTGAAATTTTGATGAGAATTTTTTTCTAAATTTTTGAACATAATTATTGAATTTATGCGAAGAATATTTATTACTTTTGAAAATAATTGAATATCTGCAATCATTTGTAACTTCTCCAAAATTCAATTTTTTCCAATACTTTAATAAAAAATCCCTGACTATTCCCTGAATTACCTGACCTGTGGCAACCCTGAAACAATTTTGAATGTTAATAAAAGTAAATTCGATCAATAGGAAGGGAATTCTCTTTTTAATTTAAATTTTGAATTTTATTACAAAAAGACAATTAAAATTCTTAAACCATTTAGATTTGTATTTAAATCTTGTAATAGTACTTTTATTAATAGCACTGGTCAAGATAAGCGAACATAACCTTAAAATTTTTTGGCCTTAATCGTAGAAGAATAGTTGCAAATTTACTCATTTAGGTATATATGAACACTTTAATAACGAGGCAGTGAGTCAAAAATCACTAAAAAAAATTTTTTTGTCAACAAAGGAAAAGGAAAATTGATTTTAAATAAAAAGTCGGATGGTGGTAGTGAAGGGTTAGGGGGGGGGGGCACGAAGTATTCCTAGTATATATATATATATATATAGATTATGTATTCAAGCAAGGGAGACCAGTTCTGGTCTCGAAAACGCGTTTTATTACTCATCGATTGCAGTCAGGTGCGGTCGAGCGGCTTTTTTGTTGCATCTATTTGAAATTTAAAGCGTGTATATAGTTCGCATTGCAAGAGAACTCTCGGCAGGCAATAAGCGATTGAAAATAGAAAATATAAGTCCATCGACACTTGTATATATATATATATATAAATTTTTTTGTATTTCCTTTTCAGATCGTAGAGGAAGAATATTAAAATTTAAAAGAATTGAAGAAGAAAAATTTCAAAAACGAGAGAGAAAGAGAGAGACTGGAGGAAACTCTTATAATAGGACCCGTAATGACGTAAGTGTATCAGAGAATAAAAGATTCAATAAAAATGACCTTCAACTATATTACAATTCTTCCTGAGAAATGAGATTCGCGCATATATTTTTTACCATCCTTATAAATTCCCCGATTTTTTCTCCTCTAATCAGAATTCGACTTTATAATTATTTACACATCTCGTGTGTCTTTGACGTCATTTGGAAAGCAATTTTTTTTTCTTTTTATTCTTTTGTATATGCATATTTTTCTTTAACTTCTAATTTATATTTTAGACCTAAAGTGACCTAGATATAGGTTTAAAATTTGGTGCTTATAGGTGAAAGCCTATATATATAGTAAAAATGCTTCTGATTATTATTTTGGTTAATTTACATTATTTTATTATTGCATATTAGAACACAATATAAAGTTTTGATTTTTTACATAAATATTCAAATGATTTGAGTAAAATCGTGAAATTCGACGTTATTTAATTTTTAGGAACCCCTAATTAATTCTTTGGAAAAATTTTTACAAATTAATTTTTCAGAATTTAAACTTCGATTTCTAAATAAGAGATTGTCATTTTCGTCAATGGACTTGTTGAATACTATTAATTCATTTTCTAATTCCTGTATGATATGATATTTTGATGAATTAAGCATTTCGTTTTTATAACATCCACTACTCAAGTTATTAGTCTTATTTTCTAAACTTTCCAATACATTTAAAGTCTTTTCAATTAATATTTTCGGATCATGAAAATGCTTTGCAATTAATGATTCAAAACTGTTTTTTAATTCAGTTATCAAAGTCCTTATTTCTTTCTCTATTACTGCGACTTCATCTTCAGAATAACAAGAGTAAATTTCGTTCCACCATTTTTTACAAAGTGAATGAATTTTAAAACCAATATATCAAATATTTGCTTTCGTCCATTGTAGAAATAAATATTCTTCATTTTCTGCAATTAAAAAATTAATATACTCAATTTTTTTAATTTTTCTGACCCAAAACACAGAGTTTTCTTGAAAGTATTAAATTCATGCCTAAAATTAATACCAAAAATGTGGATCAAATTAAAAATTAATCCAAATTTTAGGCGCCGAACCAGTATGAAATATAAGTATTTAAAAATACGGATTTTACGGACGAAAAATGAGAAATTACGGACTATTTGCGGACCAATTACTGAGAAAAACATAACCAGAGTGATAAAATCATTTACAATTTAATTTTAACCAAAATTATCCAAATTATATCGTACAATTTTTGAGGTTAAAAACTATTTTTTTTAACTTACTTGATATTTAATAAATGGCGATGTCTCGAGAGAAAATAAAAATTGCCTTAATTTATCAATTGCAGAGGGTACATTAACATAATGATTGTATATTATTAATTTTGAATCTTCGACAATGTCATTAATTCCATCTGTCATTTTGTGTAACGCAAGAAAAATAGCATTTAGAGAAAATAAAGCTATTTCAGTATCATTACTAAACAAACTTGCGTAATTTATATTTAATTTATATCTTCTTTTACAATGTTTTGAAATTGTTAAAAATCGGTTCAATGTAACAATTTTATTTCTAATTTTAACATTAAAGTCACTTCTTTTACTGCTTTTTATCTCTTTCCAATCGGATACAAATGTATCATATTTATAAAAAACATATACAGGATTATTTTTTGTACAATTTACAATTTCATCTCCCGTCGATTGTAATAATTTATTAAAATAGTATTTTAAACTAATAATAGTTTCCAACGGCTCATCATTAACCAAATACTTTTCCTGTAAGTATTTTAATACCATTTTATCAATAAATTTAAACAATAATTATAGAAAAGCACTTTATAGGTTTATTTAATAAATAAATAAATAAACGTGAAAAAAATTAAAAATAAAAATTTTCCCATCTGATTAATTTGAAAATTGGATAAAATTTATTATTTGTACCTTTTTATAAAACTCAATGTGTTTTTTCTTTGTACTCCAAAAGAAATAGTTGCAATTATAATATGTTAGTATTTTTAACTTTTCAAGACTTTGTGTGTGATGTAAAATGAGTTCGTATGCATTATTTACGGACGTTTGGTCAGTTTGAGATTTTTTTTCTAAAATAGCAGAAACTGTGGTAAAATCTATGTCTATTAATTTTACAATTTCAAACAATTGTTTGGCTACATAGTAATCATCACTTTCAGAATGCCAAAAAAGATTATATTCAAATTTACAGACATTGCACGAAATATTTTCAATTGTACTATATATATCATCAACGAACTTTTTTCCTGATTTTTCATCCATTGATTCAGTTTCTTTGCTTTTGTTGATGAATATTTGAATATTTTCTTTGAAAATATTTAGTAATTTTAATAATTTGATTGGAGGGAGCGATTCAACGTTCATTCCATTTGTAGGACAACTTAAACTGTCCAAATGATTTTAAAAAATTTTCACAAGAAAATTGCTAATTTTTAGATTGTAGTCACTATTTTTCAACAAATCTGTATAGTTAATATGAATTTGTTGCTAAAAGCAGAAAAATTAATTTTGTGAAACTAAAAATTAAGAAGAAAATTAATGTTTTCAATTTTTTAAAGAAAAAAAATAACAGATTTGAAATTGTGAGAATTATTAGCTTGAAATTAAATATATATTTGAAGTATTAATACCGTAATGACTTTATGCATATGAGGAGTAAAATTTCTGTCGTCCACCACATTTTTCTGATTCACACTTGTCTTAAATTTTTCCTGTTCATTATTTTCAGTAACCAATTTTCCATTAAATTTTTTATGTAATTTATCATTTGTAAAAAATAGTGTGAAATAAACAATTATATACCAGAGTATTTGAAAACCGATCATTTTTTTACTCTTCAATTCACAAAAATATGAAAATATTATTTCTAGCCACGTAAACAAAATCAAAAGTTTAAATATGCTGGACATTGGATACTTGACAATTTTTTAAACGACAATTGACGAATTGGAATGGAACACATTTTAATATTGCATTGAATAACTAATAAAAATTATCCACAGCACGAAAAATGTACGTTCAGTTCAAAATAGCAAATGATTTTTAATTTCTATTTCATGTTGTCCTTACAGTAAAGTTTGATTAGAATCCCATGAAAGCGATAATCGTTTAATAATTTTCAGTATCGTTTAAAGATATAAAATTTAAAAAAAAAACAAATTTCTGCAATAATGAAGAGTAACGAAAACAAAAGTTTGAAATAAATTTTACTCAAAAAAAAAAAATAATAATAATAATAAAATTCCTCTTGTTGTCGTATTATGTAGGTTTTCCGAGTATTTCTACATTGGGAATAAACAGAGAGGACGTCAAAAGATGAAGGGAGAGAGGAGGAAATCTATAAGATCCGTGAAAATAACGCGACCAAGACTTATACGTAAAAGACCTCTCAAGACTCCAAAAAATCTCTCAAAGACATGGTGGATGTATATATATGTATGCAAGAAGCAAAAACAGGTTTGTGAGGGCGTCCAGAGCTACCTGTCCCGTTCTCCTGGCCCCGCGTTACCCAAACGTTATATTGGGACCCTCTCGCGTCTTTTCGATTCCTGCGGAAGGGCCCACGAATGTAAAAAAAAAATGACGGCGAAGAAGATGGTAACAGGAGAGGGGGGTGGTCATCAGTTAGAATGGGAGGGGTGAAGAAAAACACACCAACTGAGATCGCAGACTTCGCACTTGATAATTAATTTTAAAAAAGTAGCTTTCCTAATAAAATTTAAAGTAGTGGAAATTTAAAAAAAAATAGTAGCTTTTAGTGGCTGAAATCAAAAAAACTACCTAAATAGTAGTTGTTGTGTTTTTGGACCACAAAAAAGAAAAAAAAAGGGGGGGGGGGAGAAAAAAGTGAAGAAGCGTTTAACAAGTGCAAGAGAAGAGAGATAGGAGAAAGTGAAGAAACATATAACAAGTGCAAGAGAGAAAACAAAAGAAGAAGTAAAGAAGCGTTTAACAAGAAAAAGAGAGAGAAAGAGAGGGGAGGAATAAAAAAGTGGGGGTAGAGCGTTACCCCCACCATTTTCATATAGAGCAATCTCAAACAACCAAGAAGCGCACCTAAAATATTTTATATTTATTTTTTCTTCTAGATCACGCTCTCGATCATGCGCACACTCATATATATATATATATTTATATATATACATATAGGTTTGTAATGCGACCGCCGAAAGATTCCGGTGGACCATTGTGTTCCGTGTTCGTGTGAAAAAAATTCCGGTGGGCGGCGCTCTTCTTTTTTTTTTCCTCGTGAGCTACCTGCCATATGATTAATGTCGCGCTTATCCGGGACATTATGTTGCACGATTCTTTTCTTATATATGTATCCCCCCCTCTCTCACTTTTTCTTTCTCTTTTTCCTCAAAACATCCACGATTCATTTGCCAAAGATCTTCTATGTATATATATACACACATTTATTCGAATACATTTATATCTTATACATACAATATAAATGCATTCGAGGCTATATAATGTGAAAAGCACCGCGACTTTTGGAAAATCGAAATCAGCCTTGTTTAGGTTGGCTTTGTCGGAACTATTTTTTTTTCTTTTTGAGAAATGACACTCATCTTTTGGCTTACATGTATATAGTATATTTTTATAAGTATATGGGATCCTTAATCTTGGTAATTTTAAGATGTTGAATGGACATTTTACACTCAAATTTTTTATATAATATAATGTATGTTGGAAGATGTGAAAATCTTTTGTCGACAATTGGGAAAAAACGTTTAATCATTATTCATATTTCTGGAGAAATGTTTAGTATTAAATTATATTATTCTATCGCTGTAGATAAAAAATTCTGAAGAATGGGACAAACATATAGTTTTGTGTCAGTGCGAACAGTATTCCTTAAAAAAATCAAGATTTAATTTTTTAATACTTGCAATATGTTTATTTAAATTAATTATTTTAAATTATTTTAAATTCTTTTAATAATTGTAATAAATAATAATACTGCTAGCAATAATCAAAATAAGAAATTTGTACCGAGAATTTGTACTGCAAATTTAAACACCATAGGTCAAAATGATCATCGCCGAAGGATAAAAAATATAAAATAAATATTTTCAGTTTTATATTTGAGGGTCAAACAAATTTTCTTGAACTCTATAGTCACTCTCTAAAAGAATATATAGATATATATGCATTGAACAAAGGTCAAACAATGGAAAACTTTAAAGCCGCGTTCGTCGTCGCAACCAGGATTAGGAAAGCGCATTAATAATATATCCGGTTTCTCTGCAATTGCAACGTCATCGCGTATTCTTAATAAACCAATATGTAACATATATATGTATATGTATATTATCACGTACTTATATTTATTTATTCATTGAATAAATATTAAATTCGAAAATTATCATAAATTTCGTATTTTTTCTTCTTAAGAGAATTGGAATTGAAAAAAGAGCTTTTTTTAATTTTAAGAAACATCGATCGGCTTTTAAATTTTATTTTACCTTATATATAATTTGGATTATAAATACCTTATAGTTTCTTTTAAAAATTTTAGATTATTCTATATTTTCATTGAGAAATTGTTGATTATATAGAATATTGTAATGAATATTTATTTAATTTCCATATGTGTATATAGTGAATAATCAAAACAACTGTGCCAAATCGTTAACTTTTGGCATGGCGCGCCTTAATCTAACCCATAGCCGCGATAACCTTTGACGCCACTGCTGGTCAGTTATCTCGGAAATTCTTCCGTTGATTAACGAGAAGAGGATTATATAGTCGAAAATTAACAGAATTTATGTCTCTTTTTCTCTTATTATTCTCGAGAGGGTGATTCTCCATATATTGATATTAAAATTTTTTTTTATTTAATTTAAAGTCTTTGAATAAGAATTTATATTCATAATATTAATATTCTTATTAATATTACTTTTATTATTATTGTTATTCATTAATATTATTATTATTATTTTGCATTACAATAAAAAAATATTCGTTTCTATTCTTTCAATAGTCGAGATAAAACTTATATATATATATTTTGAAAGTTCATCAAACAGGATGTAACAAGCTATATACGAAGATTAATTTAGTATCTTAATCGCAGTGTAATGATAGACCTATATATCAATGCTAAATAGTTGTAAAAAAATAAGTTTCGCGCAATTTGACTCACTTCATTTTGTTAATTCAATATGAAGGCTGCGCTGTAAATTCTAAATAAGTAGTAGCACTCACCTACTAAAACCTATACTTTTTAAAAATACTACTTGGCTACTTTTTCAGATTTCAGCCACTAAAAGCTATACTATTTCGGTTTTTTTCTTAGAATTTCCACTACTTTAAATTCGCTAATACTATAGAAATCAAAAAACTATTCTCAATAATTATAAACAAATTCTTTAAAATTTTAATAAAATTCTTTGCAACTATTCAATTATTTTCATAAATAATAAAAATTCATGTCAGGATTTCAATTATTTTTAATACAAATTTACAGGAATTTCTCAAAAAATGTAATTATTCTTTCAATAAATTGACTCTATTTTGCCTTTTTTTTACTTAAATTATCAAATATTAATGAACCCTCGGAGAACACATGGGGTTATTCTGACCCCACGTTTTTTTTACGAAAAGCTTTTTATCTATTGTTTAAATATCTTTTATAAGGATTTTAAAGTATATACAGACTTATTTTACAGAGTTTAAAGTTTAAACTATATTTTTAAAAAATCCTTGGTTTAATCAGATTAAGTTCAAAATTGGTTGAGCATTGAAAACTAATCTAAAAAGGAGGTGTGTTCTCCGAATTTAAATAAATAAATATTTTTTAAAAAATGATAAATAATGTTTATAATATTTATAATGTGTTTCTCCGAATTTAAATAAATAAATATTTTTAAAAAAATGATAAATAATACATATATTGAAAGCTTTATCAATTTTCTTAACTCAGTTGAATGTCTCTTCGTCATACTCTTGATTAGAAAAGGTTTATAATTTATCTCTCTCTACTTCTCTATGTGTATACGTACATTAACGTCTACATATATACATAAAATGCGTATTGGTGTGATTCACATTGGTCGCGAACGAAATTCCATAGGCGAGAAGTCAACGAGTTAAAAGTTTACAAGTCTTGATCGGCGACGATCGCATTTGATCGTATAGTAGTATGAGGAAGCTACGAGGAAGTAAGGAATCCCCCCACTTTTGACCGAGTCAGTCAACTGGTTGCGGGGCGCCCACAATATCTACTCCATCCATCCCTCCCTCCCCCCCTTCTTCTGTTCTCTCCTCAACCCACCCTCAATCATTCGCCAACATGCGACATTCCCCTCCCCTCTTCCCCTTTACCTCCTTCTCACCATCATGTACACTTCGCGTTCCACCAACTTCGACTATTTCCGTCAGTGCGCCAATCAAGAACCGAGATTCGCGATTCATTCTCGCACCAATACGAACGTTTCTTCTCTTTTCCCTATTCAGGAACGTATTTATACAAAAATTTTTCCAAATTCTACTTTTTTCCATTTTAATTGAAACATAGGCTTTAATTAATATTTCTTTTAAAATTTAACTGGATCAGGAGTGTATTGTTACTATTTTGATTTTTATTTGAATAGATAATTAATCTGCTATCTGCTATTCAATCATTTTATTCTTTTAAGATGTAAACGGTTTGAAACTTAGTTTTTTCATTGTTCAGAAAGAGAACAGAAAAAGAACGAATTTGAATTACATTAAAATTAATAGGTATGGATAATATATTAATAGTGGTATGTACATAATATAAAATACAAACTAACATACAATATATACTTATAGAGGGAAGATGATAAAACCAATAAGTAGCATATAAAACACCCATTTATATATGGGGCGAGCATTGATCCGAAAATCAGTGAGGAGTTAGCTATCCTATAAAAGAAGCACTAAATTATGTCGAATAATCCGCTTAGTTACGCATCTTAAAATCGTATTGAGTATATTTATATGTAATTATTCCAAATTTCATTTAATATAAATCCTTGTAGTCTCTATTTAGTAGCAAGCGCAACTAAAAATTTCATATTCTACATTCCGGTTTAACATCTCAAGTACAACTTCCGCACCTACTGCAATAAATTATAAAATAATTCCACTACCGCATCTGTATTGTTCATAGATTTCAGTTTGGAATTGTAAATATATGTCATAACCGTCCAGAAACTTCCGAATTGAAATTAATATTAAGTCCTGGAATCCATTTATCATCAGTGATAACTTTATGATCTATATCGAGATCAAAATTCGAGATTTTAAAGAATTAACATTTTTTAAATCATAAAAACCTTCACGAAAAAAAGTCTTAAATCGTTTACATCTTGAAACCAAAATAATTGAACAGTAACTTATTTTTAAATTTAAAACTATCCTTAAGGCTAAATTTCAATCGAATAAAATGCGGTTCTAAAATGGTTTTAATCAAAAGTGAGTTAAAAGGTTTGTTTTTTTATAGTTTTTCAGTATTTTACTAACTAAGATAGCAAGAAATTAATTGATGATTGGTAGACAGTGCGGAAATTCCACCATGATTCAGATTAAGAGAGTAAAATAGCAATGCTTTAACTATAAGCAAAACAAAAATCCAAATTATTGTAATTTATTTAATCTGTTTATAGTACCATTGGAAGAATATTATATGTGAACAGTGCAAACATTCAGCAGCAAATAATTCAGATCTTAAATCATTCTTGTTCAGGACTACATTGCATGTTGCATATATAGTTGAAAGATTCAACAAGCTTCAAAATTTAAAATCATTCCTATGCAAACGATTGAGGATAATTTTAAAATTTTCAATAGTAAACACTATATATACGGATATTCAGCATCGTAAAATTCTGAATTTAAATCTTCTAATCCGTTTAGTACTATACACTATATACATTCTGTTTCTAGGTGTCAGCAACATTCAACAACAAACTAAAATTTCAATTTCAAAATTATGTTATTATTCAGTGCAAACTTCGCACTCGATAATTAATTTTAAAAAAGTAGTAAAAAGTAAACTAAAAAAAGTAGTAAAATTATAGCTATCGAATAATTAAACTTGACTATCAAAAAAACTCGTTTTAGACACTTCACAAAACTGAAAGTATTCCATTCTATATATATTTTATTTTTCTTACTTTTTCCTAATTTTCATCAAAAATATTTACTTCTTTCTTTACATTCTTTCTTTTCTTCTTTTCCGGCTAATAAATTGAATTCCTGCAACGAATTTTATTATTCATGAAAGAATTTAAATATTTATAAAAATAATTTAATTTTTGCGTAGAATTTTATAAAAAAATTTTAAATAATTCAATTCTTTCGACTAATTTTATGCAAATTCTAATTTAAATAATTTAATTCCTGAGAAATTTGTATTATTCATAAAAAGAAATTGAATTCTTACGAAGATTTTTACAGAAATCTTTTTAAATAATTGAATTTTGTTTGTAAATTTTATGAAAATTGTTTGAATTGCGAAAAATTTTTTAAAATAATTAAATGCTTGTGATGAATATTGTTATTATTTATAAAGATAATTGAATTTTGCAAAGAATTTTATTAAAATGCCTCAAGATAATTGAATTTTTGGGAATAATTTTGTTATTCGTCAACGAAATTGAATTCTTTTCAAGAATTCAATTATTTTTATTAAAATATTTGAAAATAATTGAATTTCTGTGAAAAATTCTAATATTTTTTTAAATAATTGAATTCTTCCAAAGAATTTAAAAAAATATTATTTTAAATAATTGATTTTCTCGAGGAATTGAAATTAAATTTTTAAGAATAATTACATTTTTTAAGCAATTCCTGTAAAATTGTATTAAAAATAATTGAAATCCTGCGATGAATTTTCTTATTTATGAAAATAATTGAATAGTTACAAAGAGTTTTATTAAAATTTTAAAAAGTAATTGAATTCTTGGAGAAGAATTTTATTAATTATAAAAATAATTGAATTATTGCGAAAAATGTTGTTAAAATGTGTAAAGAGAATTTAATTTCTGTAAAAAATTTTGTTATTTTTGAAAATAATTGAATTCTTTAAAAGAATTTTAAAAAAACCTTTTTTTTGAATAATTGATTTTTTCGAGAAATTGAAATTAAATTTTTAAGAATAATTACATTTTTTGAACAATTTCTGTAAAATTCTATTAAAAATAATTGAAATCCAGCGATGAATTTGATTATTTATGAAAATAATTGAATAGTTGCTAAGAATTTTAATATTTATGAAAATAATTGAATTATTGCGAAAAATGTTATTAGAATGTTTAAAAAGAATTGAATTTCTGTAAAAATTTTTGTTATTTTTAATAATGATTGAATTCCTGATAAGAATTTTATAAAAATTCTTTTAAATAATTAATTTTTTCGAAATATAATAAATATTATGGAAATTTTATTTTAAATAATTGAATTCTTGCGAAATACTTTATTTTTGATAATAATTGAATTTATCGATTAATTAATTTGAAATAATATTAAAAAAGTAATTGAAATTCTTCGATGGGTTTTATTATTTATAAAAAATAATTGAATTCTTGCTACGAATTTTATGAAAATTTTTTTTAAAAAATTGAATTTGTTTGAAAAACGTTATTATTAGTGAAAGTAATTGAATTATTGTAAAGAATTATATAAAAAGTTTGTTAAATAATTGATTTTTTCGAAAGAAATGCTATTCTAAATTAATTAAATTCCTGTGGGAATTTTATTATTTATGAAAATAATTGAATTTTGCATGAATTTTATAAATTTTTTTTTTCAATAATTAAATTCTTTTGCGAAATTTTATGAAAATATTAGATATTGAAAATAATTGAATTTCGAATATTTTTTGAATATAATTATATTATATAACTAATTTTAACCAATTTGATGAGCGCGAAGCCTGTTCAGTGCCAAGGAAAATTTAGATTTTAAAAATTGAATTCAAAAGTTAATAACTTAAAAATGTTGCAAATGTTAAGACTTAAAATTAGGACACATGGGACTCAAAATTCAAGATAACTTAAGACGACTTAATTATGACTTAAGTTGACCCAAATTTGAGATATTTTAAAGTAGAACATAGTTTTAAAAATCTCAAAAATGTATGTACTTTATAATTTAAAAAATTGGGACAAATGACTCAAAAAAATAAGACAAAAATGCCAACACCGGATAAAATTGAATTTTATCCACCATCCACACTAATTAAAATCAGCAAGTATTCAAAAATTTACAATAAGCAAACCTAAAATTCAAATTTAACCTCGAGAAAGAAAGATGAAATAATTTAAAGTAAAAGAAAAAAATTTACATGAATTTTGTAAACCGATCCTAAACTATAAAGGAGATTTAAAAAAAAAAAGAAGAGGAAAACAAAAAATTCAACGCTAAAACGAGTTGAGTAAAGGTTTGGAAACTGATGAATTCAGAAGGGTGGGAGGAGGAGGAGAAAAGAAGACCTGAAAGGAATTTAAAAACCACTGGTCTCTATACACCTCCTTTTATTACGGTCCTGCCCTCGAGTTCGTTTCACTCTCCTTCTCTCTCTTACTCACACAAGTATTTATTTACCTCTCTCTCACTCTCTGTCTGTCTCGCTCTTCTCTCTCTCACTCTGTCACTATTTCTCTCTCTCTCGCTCTCTATCCCGTCCCAAGCAAAAGAGAGGTGGCAGGGCCTCCACTTCCTAAAGGTTCTCGTTCTCAACTAAGCTTTAGTCGCTCGCTAGTATCGAGACGTGACGGATGAGATTATTTCACATGCCGTCCTGTAGTCGTGTTGCTAAATATTGTGCACGAGTTTTTTCATTGGAAAAATACTCGTTGCTTTATAGAATTAAAAATCAGTGGCAACATTATTAATTTCCGATAAAATACAGGAAAAAAGTGAAAAAATTATCATCAACAATAATAAATCGAAATTCCAAAATAAGGAATTAAAAATCAAGAATAATTGGAGTCGAAAGAAAAATATTTCCGAGTCAGCGGTTGGTGCTCGAGAGTGTTGCCTGAGTGTAACTATAAACCACGGATTTCCCGTGATACTGTGATAAATATTGTCTCGATATTTTTTTTTTCTTTTGCATTTCTTTTTTTTTTCCTCTTTGTCATTTTGTGTTTACTCACGTGCGCGCTCTCTATCTGAATTTTGCCGGGATTAGAAAAAAGTTGTGCCCGGTTTTAGTTATTTTCTTAACAAAAAAAAAAGGTGGTCCTTTTTTGCAATTTGAGAAAAAAATTTGTGAAACAACTTGTGTGGATTAACCAAGTACTTCTGCTGAATTGATACTCTGACCAATGAACATAAGTGATTTTGTGATTTACTCGCCCAACTCGACGGGTGTTTAATAACTTGAGGATTAAATTGAGGTAATTAGTCTTTAAATGCTCTTTAATTTTCATATCTGTGCTTTTGTAATAAGATTCGAAAATTATTTTTCATTTTTTTCTTTCGACTTTTGCTGAACTCGTTCATGAAAATTTACTCCCAACTCGTAAATGAAATTTTTACTGAACTAGTTCATTGAAATTCCTATTGAACCAGTTCATGAAATTTTAACTGAATTAGTTACTGAAACTTCTAACGAACTTGTTCCTTAATCTATTGCCGAAATTGTTCCTTAATCTTTTGCCGAACTTGTTCCTTAATCTTTTGCCAAACTTGTTCCTTAATCTTTTGCTGAACTTGTTCCTAAATTTTCTGCTGAAGTTGTTTCTAAACATTGCGGAACTTTTTGCAAAACTTTTACAAAACTTGTTCCTAAATCTTCGGAAGAACTTGATCCCAAAACCTCTACTGAACTTTTTCCTAAATTTTTTACTGATCCAATGCCTAACCGATCCTCTAAATTTACTGAATTTCCCAACATTCTAAAAATTACTGAACCGGTTCCTCAACAGATTTTTAAAATTAAAATCCTGAATCTACTGCTGCACCTTCCTCTAAATTCTAAAGTCAGTTAAAGATATTATGAAACAATTTTTAGAATAGAATTGAACTATTTTTTATTTCATTGTTAAAACATTTTCCTCGGACTGATTCTGAACTAATTCCTGAATTAAAGATGTAGTGCTGAACCGGTTCCGGAAAGTTGTTTTTAAATTCCTAAGTCTTTTGTCGAAAAGCTCCTGAACAGCAGATTTTAAATATCCACTAACAAACTTTATCAATTTTTTTACCGTAGAAGTATTTCCAAAATCAATTTTACTGAACCTGTTCCTAAAAATATATTTCACAATCTTTTTCCCAAACAATATTCATTGAAAAATATTCACACACGAGAAACAAATTTCCAGCTGCATTACAACATCCGTTTTTCTCAATTATAAACCAGAATAAGGAAATCCTTATTGTAACAGAACTAAACATCTTGATACCGGGAATTTTTGAAAATATTGTTTCCTCCTTGGGAAAAACCTATTATGAAAACTGAATTTTAAAAATTGTTTCAAATTTTTAAATTTCCTTTTATCCTTTAAAAAATTGCTTCGACTTTTTAGAATTCATTTTAAAAATAGTGTCAAATTTTCAAAATTCATTTTAGAAATAAGTTTCGAATTTTAAAAATTCATTTTAAAAATAGTTTCCAATTTTCAAAATTCCCTTTAAAATTAAAAATATCTTTTTTTCAAAAAGTTACATTCTCGTCAACAATAATGAACCAAATAGTCAAAATAGAATAACTGAAAGGCAGATTTAAAAACCTTTTCTTTCTTCAACATCCGGAAAGAGAGGAAGAAAAGAAAAATTCCAAAGTGCTTGATTTTCATTCGTTCGAAGGGTTTTTTTTCGTTTCTTTTTTTTAAATTCTACAAATGTGTCGCTATGACGTTCCGTGCGTGCGCAACTATTGTAAACAAACCGCCTCGGCAAATTTCCATCCATCGCGTGTTGTATATATATACATATTAGTGCCACGAGTCGGAAGTCACCTTCCACTTTATTGAGCATGGAAAAAAACGGCAGCTGCTTTTTTTTTAAAAGAAAAAATCAATTTTCAATCTTAGATAAGTTATTATATGTTTCTTTTTCAAAAATAACATCAACTACATACATATTTAAATATTTAAAGTTAATAGAGTCGTAAACTTAATTTCTCGTAAAGTGTCTCAATATACATAAAAAGCACACTTTTTAAATTGTCTTCAGTTTCCTATTCTCTTCTCTTCTCTTTTTTTTTTATTTTTCCATTTAATGAAAAACCGTGGGGAATAAATAGAAATTTTGTATAGAATCACCGGAAATGGCACTTAAAATGTCTATTTATTTTTCCAACCGCATTCTCAGCAAACTTCTTTATTTGCCTCTCTTCTTTTATCTTACTCAACATTCGCGATTAGCAGAAACCAAGAATATTAATTATTTCAAAGGATTTAATTTTTCTATCCTCTTTATGTACTATAACGAACACTAATTTTTAAATTGTTTCATAACCGAAATTTTTTTTGAAACTTGAGATGTAATTCTTGTAGTTCTTGTTTGAAAATTTAATGATTTTCAATTTAGAAAATTCATCTACTGAGAAGTAAAAAGTAGTTTTTAAAATTTTTAGGACAAAATGTTCTATTATGTTGAGATTGAGATTGCGGATGTTTGAAAGATGTCCTGCAATTTGACCACATCTACATAATCAGTCTGAGCTTCCATTGTTCTTGATGCAAAAGGCCTGTTCATTATATATATATATATGATGACTATATTCAATTGTTTCCGGATGATTGATATCAGAAACCTTGCATCTTTTGATGTCTGCATATACAACTGCGAGAAAAGTGAATTGATCTAAATTTACGTTCCAGATTTTGAACACACTGCCAATGCCATCATTTAAATCTTTGCGTCCATAAATCTAAAAATTATGTCCGGAACCTAAATTCTTATGTCTGTATCCTTAAATCCTTTGATCGTATTCCAAATTCTGATGCTCCTATTATAAATTTTTATGTCCGCATTCTAAATTCTTATGTCCGTTCCCTGAATTCTTATGTCCGCATACTAAATTCTTATGTCCGTTATTCTTAGTTCTAACATCCAGTACTTAAATTTTTATATTTCTTCTCTAAATTCATATGTTCCTGTCCTAAATTCTTATGCCCTAAAATCATCAAATTCACAGACTTTTTTTAAAAAATTTTTACGTCAGAAATAGTAAAAAATTATATACAAAACTTCCGTAAGAAGCAAAAATATTCAAAGAGCAGAAATGCAGCACAAAACCGGAATAACATATACTTATTTTCTCACAAACCAAGAAAAACATCTTCCAATGAAAAAAATCACTCTAATCATTGCGAAAAATTCCAAAAACACACACACACACAGACACATTACAGTTTAAATTTAAAATAATCATACATACAACACAGAAATCCGTCTTATCAATTGAAAAACCGAGTCTAGATCATTTCCGAGGAATTTACTTCTAATCTAGAGTGACATATATAACGAGAAATTGAAATAATAATAATAGTACTAGTAGTGGTATAGTGTGTGGTGTAGTTGCGAGCGTTTATATATGACAATGAACATGAATAAATACGGTAATTATGTATGAACGATGCAAAATCAGAATCAGACCTACACATGACGGAAGAGAGGATTCAGTGCCGTTTATAAATACGGGAAGTGGGTATAGTGAATTCTAACCTACGTACGTTTATATATCTCTCTTTATATGTATGTATATATAGAGAGAGAATGATAAACAGAAATCTAAAGTTCCGGAACATTAAAATTCTTCTCTCTCATTCTCTCTTTGTGTTTCTCTCTTTATAAAATGTAATATTTGCAATTAGCATTAAAAAAATGAATCGAGATGGGAATACAAATTACATGATGCAAAAAGTAGTATCTTAATTTAAGATTTCTTGGTAGTGATTTCTAAGATGTTTTGGTAGTTACTTTTTAGTTATTTGAAGTATCTTAATTTAAGATGTCCCTGTAATTCAGCTATTAACATTCTTCAGTCTTATACTAATTACTCCCCTAAGAATTTGACGACTAGAATTTTAATTTAAACGAAATTCTAAAAGAATTAAAATTCGATTCGAAATTAGTCGAAAATCCATGAAAATTTGGATTTAAATCGAAATTCCGACTGGATTTCAATAAAATTCGGATTCAAATCGAAATTCAAAATTAAATCAATAAAAATTTGAATTAAAATCCATCGCAATCGGAGTTTTATCGGAATCCCGTCAGACTACACGAATTAGAATTCTCGTCCAAAGTCGGATTAAACTCAAAAATTCGATTGGAATTTAGTTCTAAATCCGGATAGAATTGAAGAATATTCTCGGAATTTTGCTGGAGTATCCAGGGGGTACCTTTTCGGGTCAATCTTTTCAAAATGGAACACAAAGACTGATCTCGAGAGAGAGAAGAAGAAGAAAGAATGAAAAAGAGAGAGAAAAAGAGAATGCGACCATAATCTCTGTTTTAAGAGTAAGCTCCCCCTCATCATATATAGATATATGAGAATAAATACGTAGGTTGCGTGCATGCATAAGTAATAAACTTAAGGCCAACGAACATACACTTATCACACGCGTGTGCCTTACATATAAACGTATATCCTATAAATCCGCAATTTTATCCCTATATTGCGAATAGTACCTACATTACAATATTTACCCAACTTCAAGCGGTAGTGAGCTGCCATCTCTTGGCGCGCGAAACTTCCAAATCGTTTTTTTTCCCTCTCTTTCTCTTGCTTCCTCTTCCCGTATAACACAAAGTCTTTTGTCTTTCCTTACACTTCCTCTTCTTATACACACTATATATATATAGGTAAATATACATACACACTCACGCTCTCTTTAAAGACCTATTATTTCTTTTTCGTACAACTATTACTTTTATGACGCAGCTATTTTTTTTTCTCTAAGGAAAAAAAACAACATTTCAAAAAGCCGCGTGTGTTTTTACATCTCTTGCCGCGAGGAAGTTACGAGATTATATTTCGAAAGACTGATAAATTACTAATAAAAAAAAGAAGAAATGTCAGCCATTAGTTTTGTTACAGCATCACAGAGAGTGAGAGAAGGAGACTAGTAATAATTATGCAATTTCATCTATTTGTAGCGCCGCGTTTTTCTTTTTTTACATTTTAACTAATTGTAAATGGAAATGGTCTGAGATTTTTCTAAATTCGGTAAGAAATTAAATGCACCGAACTTTCGAAATAATAATAATATGAAAGTGAAAAAATGAAGAAATCAGAGATATTTTAGTAGAGTTGTCGATCCTTTTGGGTAACTAAGGGTTACCTAACCCTTAGTTTTAAGTTTAAACATTTATAATTTAGTTTTAAGTTTAACAAGTTGTGAGTTATTCTTAGTTTAAAATTTAAAAAGTTATGACCTGACCC